GGGGGTGGGGGGGGAGGGCATGTGCTGGGGCGTGGGGGTGGCTGGGGAGTGGTCAATGGGGGGAAAAAGGAGACTCATGTAATACTTTAAACAATAAAGAATTTAAATTAAAAAAAGAAATAGAGCTATATTATTAGGTAGTATCTGGATTAGACTTTTGGATGAGAAATAGGGTATCAAAATATCTGTCCAACTCCTTTGTCAATGAGGCAGAGTGAAAAGAAATGTATTTTTTAGAAATTAATGATTTATTGAATCATGAGTGTATTTAGATATAAACTAAGCCACAGAGTATGTGGTAACAAATATGTCTAAGAATGAAAGATTTGCCATCCTTGAACAGAACAAAGTTCTAATAAATATCAAATCCAGGCATATTTACTGAACTATGTATAGGGCCTTAAGGCACATATTGTGTGAGAAAAGTAGTAGTGTGTAGATATGGATTCTAAAGCCCTTAAATGTATCTTAATAAATTATTTAAGATCCATTCAAACTGTACTGAGTGAGCAGGTGATTCTAGAATATTTTTAAAACATGAACTTCGCACATCAGTATACCTTTGACACACACACCAGTATACCTTCAATTCAGAAGTTTTCAAAATTGTGCTATGGGGCCCATTTGGTGTGGTTCAGTGGTTGAGCATCAACCTATGAAACAGGAGATCATGGTTGAATTCCTGGTCAGAACACAAGCCAGGGTTGCAGCTAGATCCCCAGTAGGAGGCAGCTAATTAATGATTCTCTCTCATCATTGATGTTTTTATCTCTCCCTCTCCCTTCCTCTCTGAAATGAATGAAAATATATTTTTTAAAAAATTGAGCTATTGGTCCCAGAGTTTTGCAAAATTGTACAATTACTCATATACTTTATATCTGTCATATTTTAAACTGTGTGAAAAGCGAACAATTTTTAAAAGAAATAACCAGATTTTTTTAATGAGCAGGGAAATTGTCTAACAGTAACTTTGTCAAGATCAAAGGATAACATACATGACAATTCGTTTTATTATGTTGCTGACATTACAAAGTTTTCTTCCCAGCTTTTCATTTCTGGAGGCAGAAAGCTGGGTCATACATTTCTAATCAAAAGGTCTTCTGCAACCCCCAAAAAAGCTTGGACTAGAATTTAGGCACTCAAATACACATACATGCTTTATGCAGTGTGTACTGCATTTATTGGAAAACTCATAAAAATTCTACAAAAGTATGACATCTGTGACTCAACTATACAACTTGATCCTTTTGAAGATGCTTAAAATATATTTTATCCACACTGTACACTGACTTTTTTGTTTTAGTTTGTTTGTTGTGAAGATGCTTAAAATATATTTTATCCACACTGTACATTGACTTTTTTGTTTTAGTTTGTTTGTTGATTGATTGATTGATTGTTAAAGTAGCTTGGCTTTCTGAGGTAGTGTTGTCTCTATGGCAATAAGACGAAAATGTCTAATTTATTTTTTGAAAGTCAACAATAATCCAGAGATTCAAGACCTCTCTCTCAACCCAATTTTTCAGTTTACTTTATTCCCAAAATATGGCTTATAGAAAAATAAGGACATATTTTAGGGAAGTTTACCTGAGTGACATAGAGAATGTTTTGATAATTTCTAGCTCTTGAATAAAACCTGCCCTTCAAGATGGTAGACTATATAATAGCACATGAAACCTATGTTCAGCCAATGAGCAGTTTAATTAACTAAAAAAAAAGTTAATGTCAGTTTTAGTGCCAAATACAGGAAACCTGAAGGAATAGATAGTCAACTTCCTCCCTCCTCCCCCTCTCCTCTTCCCTTCTACTGATAGGATAGGTTTTCAATGCCTGAAATCCTTAAAATCCTCTGTTCATGGACCCCAGCCCCATTGTCCACAAGGTTTTTCCTATGACTTGTCAGTATCAGATGCTTCACAGTCTGAGCCTACACATTCCCTGGGAAAGGCTGGTCTCCTCCTCTTGCATCATATGTATGATTTCATTGTACAGACGATGAGGAGCATCCAACCCCCAGATGAAATCTATGTGCGCCCATTCAGGAATGTTCTTATGGTAGATGAGGTTGTTCACTTCGGAGAGCAGTGTTTTCACATCATCTGGATTTGAAAGCCAGTCCTGACCTCCAGTCCACATTGCTGTAGGGACCGTCATGTCTCCAACTTTGTACCTTACAGGAGTTGGCTAGAAAAAGAAAAGTTGTTAGCTGTAGATCACATTTGAACTTCCAAACTCATAATTTACATTCCAAATAAACATTCTAAATGTGTGTTGTGATGGGAAAAAAAAATGCACAGGCATTGGAGCCAAGCAGATCTGCATTTAGAGTTTCTGTTTCAGCACCTACTTGAAGGTAAAATTACTGAACCTCAGTTTCTTTATCTGTGAAATGGGGATATCTGTAATCACTTACTAGGTTAATGAGAAAACATGTAAATTGCCTAGCACTTTAAGCATCACTTTTTAATTATTTTTCTTCCTATTAATAAATATTTTAAGCATAATTTACCTTTAAAAGATAACTTCACAAATGTTTCATGAGGCCAGAGTTAGAGATATTCTACAGAGAAAGTCAAGAGAATGGAACTTACTGAGAAGGACTCTGCTCTGGGGCTGCACAGATATTTTCTATGATTATAGAAAGCCTTTAAGCAGGCCCAGCCCTAGCTGGTTTAACTCAGTGGATAAAGTGTCAGCCTATGGACTGTAGGGTCCCAGGTTTGATTCCGGTCAAGGGCACATTCTCAGGTTGTGGGCTCGATCCCCAATAGGGGGCGTACAGGAGGCAGCCGATCAATGATTCTCTCTCATCATTGATGTTTCTATCTTTTCCCCCCTCTACCTTCCTCTCTGAAATCATTTAAAAAGAATATTTTTTAAAAAAGCAGGCCCCGCTTGACTATCTCCAAAAACATGGGAAGTCAATGGCACTGGAACATAGGTAGTTTGAACCAAGGGAAGGTATAAATTAGATCCCTGCTCTAGTGACCCATCACCCAAAGAAGGGTGTCTAGGAGTCTTAACCCTTGAGAACTTCCCTTATTCAAGCAGTGCTACAAAATTAGATTGGCTGGCTCAGCCCTTGAGGTTAATCAGCACCCAGAACTTTCCACAGGAATGTTGGGGCCCATTTCTTACTTGGAAAATCCACCCTGGGGCTGAGGTTCCAATCCAGGCCGTCCTTGTGCCATTTTGTGACTTTCTAAACATTTGGAGTTATAGCCTGCGATGCTGTAATGTACAATAACAAATATATATTTGGTTTTCATCCCCATTTCTGGCACAGAGCTCCTAAAACCCTTAGTTAAGGATCCAGAGATGACATCATACTTGATTGGGGTAGCCCTCAAATGGCAAGTGTTCTTTGAAGAAAAGGTCAGGGGACAGAGAGGAGAAAACCATGTGAAGATGTAGGCAGAGGTTGAGAGAATGGAGTGATGCATCTACAAACCAAGGAACACCATGAACTACAAGCAACCACCAGAAGCTAGGAGGGAGGCATGAGGCATGGGGCAGCTTCGCTGAGTCTCCAAAGAACCAACCCTGTCCAAACCCTGACTTTAGATTTCTGATTCCAGAACTGGGAAAGAATACATTTCTATTGTTTTAGTCTCCACCACAGCCCAGGCCCAAAAACACCCTTGGAATTTACTAAGAAATGAGAGCCATAAAGGTATCTTTCATTATGTTAATAAGGTGACTTGGAACCAGAGGAAGGCTCTTAGCCAGTGGAATCAATCATATTACTAGAGGGCTGGGACTTCCAGTTTCACACCTCTTGGGTTCAATCGCCAATGGCTAAATTTTTAATCAATCATACCTATGTAATGAAGCCTCCATAAAAACTCAGCAAGGACAGGGTTTAGAAAGCTTCCAGCTTGGTGAACAAGTGGAAATGTGGGGAGAATTGTGCGCTTGGAGAGGGCATAGAAGCTCTGTGCCCCTTCCCGTATACCTTGCCCTATGCATCTTTTCCAACTGGCTTTTCATAATAAACTGATGATCTAGTAAGTAAAATGTTTTTCTGAGTTCTGTAAGCCAATCTAGAAAATTAATTGAGCCAGAGGGAGTTGTCATGGAAACCTCTGATTTATAGCCAGTTGGTCAGAAGTCCAGGTTGGCATCAGAAGTGGGAGGGAGGCAGTCTTGTAGGCTCTTAAGCCATAGCATCTGATGCTATCCCAGCACTGGGTAGAACTGTAGGACATCTTGCTGGTGTTCAGGGAATTGCTTGCTGGTATGGGAAAACTTCCCAAACACAAACATCAGAATTTGATCATCAGAAACACCTTTTATAGCCTAACTTAGATATGAAAGGTTGGAATATTCTATGGAGCCAGTAATATATGTTTTAAAATCATATTACAGGTGAGAAGACTGAATTGAATTCAGGTCCAGTGCTAAGGTTCTGTGATTCTGCGACACCTTTGTGTGTGGGTGTTGTATCTTCCTTCCCACCATCAGACCGTTTTCTGGCACCTACTGTGCACAAGTGATTTTCCTAGAACTCATGACATTAAATGTGAAAACTTAAAACTACTTTGGAACTGGAATGCTTCCTCTAAAGACATGCTTTAGGAAATGGTGAAGATGGAGCTAAAATAAAAAAAAGGAGCAGACCTTTGATAGAGAGTTTGCTATTCATGGGCATTGCACAGTCTGTCCAATTTCCTAGCCTTTTATATCTAGATTGATGTACAGAAATGGATATTACATATGCTATGGTACTCAAAGATTTGCCTGTATCTATTCAGCTCCCTCCGCTTTAAATTTGTAGGGTCAATGTTTGTTTATATTCATACACAAGCTACTACTAATCTTCAGTGAAGATTTTATGCTCAGAAGAGTATAAAGTCTACTTCTGATTCTATACAACATTTGTTTTTAATTTTATTCTACAGCATTGACTACACATTTCTTAGATAATGTGATAGCATTTTAAAAATATTTTTTTACTGCCTGGCTGGCTTGCTCAGTGGTTGAGCGTCAACCTATGAACCAGGAAGTCACGGTTCGATTCCTGGTCAGGGCACATGCGCAGGAGGCAGCCAATCAATGATTCTCTCACATCAGTGTTCTTTCTCTCTCTCTCTCTCTCTCTCTCTCTCTCTCTCTCTCTCTCTATCTCTGAAATCAATAAAAATATTTTTAAAATAGAAAAAAATGTTTTTACTTGAAAATTACAGAATCATTATATGTGTGACCAGGGTGAACTCTTAAGAATGATCTAGTCCAGTGATGGCGAACCTATGACATGCGTGTCAGAGGTGACACGCGAACTCACTTTTTTGGTTGATTTTTCTTTGTTAAATGGCATTTAAATATATAAAATAAATATCAAAAATATAAATCTTTGTTTTACTATGGTTGCAAATATCAAAAAATGTCTATATGTGACACTCAATTCCGGTCAAGGGCATGTACCTGGGTAGCGGGCACATCCCCAGTAGGAGATGTGCAGAAGGCAGCTGATGGATGTTTCTCTCTCATTGATGTTTCTAACTCTCTATCTCTCTCCCTTCCTCTCTGTAAAAAATCAATAAAATATATAAAAAGAGAAAAAAAAACAAAAAAAACAAACCTGAGGTCTGAAGAATCAAAGTGGCCTAGCCATGATCACACAAGTTTATAGTGTAGAGGCAAGACTAACCCAGTAATCCTCATTCACCAATTAACGCTCTTTTTCTTTATGCAGCAAGGCTTTTAAATTGAGTTATAAGATTGTATTATATTGTGAAATGGTTATCACAGTAAGTTTAGTTAACATCCATCACAACACATAGTTACAAATTTTTTTGCTTCTAATAAGAATTTTTAAGATTGACTCTCGGCAACTTTCAAATACACAACACAGTATTATCATCTAGAGTCACCATGCTGTACATTATACCTTCTGACTTATTTATATTATAACTGAAGTTTGTACCTTTTGATCCCTTTCACTCATTTCCCACCCAACCCCTCACCCCTGTCTCTGGAAACCACAGATGAATGGTCTTTGTATTGTACTATACAAACAACCTCACTCCTGCCATCTTCATTGGTGATTTCTGGGTTTCTTTTCAAGAAAGGCTTCTTATAGTAGTAGCCACCAGAGACCACAATCTTTCCTTCGCTAAACCCACTCCACCTCGCTCCTACGAAGCCCAGGGCCCCCTTCATGGAAGCAGCCTCTCAGAAGTTCTCCTACTCCATTGTGAAGGCAGCAGGCCTTGTGACCACGCTCTGAACGTCCCCATTTTCAAATGGAGTCAAACCCCGATTATTATTTTCCACTCGCATAGTCATATTTTATTTCCATCTCTACAGTAAACTGCCATTAGACCTATCCGGTCGTGCACTTCAAAAAGGTGGTATTGGTTTTCTTACCTGATTGCCTTTCTCCAGATTTTTAGTCTCGCTCCCCCAGTCAAAAGCCCGGAGTTCCCCAGAATTCGCTGCCTAAAAGGAAACAAAAATGTACATGGCGTTCAAATGTATCGCTGGAAAAGAGTGGGAGGAGGGGTGGAAATGTCCTCCCAAGTCTGCAATTGTGGGGGAAGCAGAGAGCAGAGACTGAGGCTTCTGTTCAGCATTAGGATAATCTTCAGGGAAGTACAAAGGCAAGAGGAAGACCCTTTCGGGAGAAAATGCATGTACTGCAGACATACTTGGCCCCCATGTCATACAACTCCAGGAAGTGCATCCCCATTCATAGATGGTATCTGTACAACTCTTGGGCTACAGGGGAAAGCTCTCCCTGGTGATTGCGAGAAGGTAACCAACAGTTAATACAATTCAGAATTCTTTAGTTTTAACTATAAAATATTTCTCTCCTCTCTCTCTCTCTCTCTTTTGCAAATATAACAACTTTACAAGAACAATTTCACTAGACTCTAAGTTGCTACAAAAACAGAAAGTAGATAGGGCCAATATTTATGATATATAAATGCCATCACTATTCATAAAACTCTCTGCTTGAGTTAAGAGCATCCCCCCCTTTTTTTAAACAAAGTGGTATTTTTAATACATGAGAATCCAAGGTTAGTTATGCTCTAGCTCTGTCCTTATATCCATCCTTATTTCCACAATCAATCAAGGTCACTCCATTGTATCATCTACAATGAGCAATATTATTAGGCTCAGTGCTTCTTCACTGGTAAAAGGATAATTCGCATTCACATTATCCTTGAATCCATTATGAATGTATTACTTCAGCTCTGCCTTCTTTAGTTCATGTGACTGGTGATCAAGACTTGCCCTCCTGTGTTGCAGGTTAGTCTTTCCCTCCTGTGAGGCCTCTTTGGGTAATTGGTCCTGCCTTCCACTTTTGTTACTACTTGACCATGCTGCTGGAGGAGCCTCCAATTATCTTCTCCAGCCTCATTTTGAGGTGGTGAGAGACAGAGAAAGATCTCAATGGGACCATCTGACCTCACAGTTTTAAGGTCCACTAAAGACGTCCGTGGCCCAATCCTTCCCTCCCATCTCCTGAAAAGCTTCAATGTTCTAGATTACATTTCATCTCATAAGAAATATAAAATAACGCCTGGTTTATCAAAAGGGCACTCTTTCCCACAGATACTTACTTAGGGAAAAGGACAAATTCAACATCATTCCTACCTGGCTCCAGTGCAGGATATTTTGCACAGATGTCCCAGCAGGAGAATGAGCGACGTACACATTTGCTCGGCTCTGTAACAAAGCATGAGTGGTTTGTGGGACATGGAAAAACTCATAAGACATGCACTTTGTCCAGATCAAATCTCCAGGTGTCAGACTAAGAAATGGGACCATCATTAAATTATCAGCCCTTGTCTATGAAACAGTAATATGCACATAAGTAAACATGCCACTAAATGTATTCCTGAGCACCTATATTTTTCATCCTAGGATGGCTTCTCGGTAGATATCTGAACTCATTTTTTTTTTTTAAATCTTACTACAGTAATTAAGGATGAAGACTCTAGAACAGGCCTATATTCAAATCCTAGCTCTGCCATTTAGTTTTTAGGTGGATATGGGAATAATTTAATCCACTAAATCTCAGGATACTAATCTGCATAGTGGGAAATTGATAATATCTGTCTCATAGGATTGTTAGCCTGGCACATAATAAATGTTTATTAAATTGTAGCTATTAATCGTATTACTTTAAACAAAGAATAAAGAGACTTCAGGAATTAAAGATGTGTTCTTCCAGCTGCCAGCTGGTAACCCTCTACTGTGGGGCCTCCTTGGGGGGTTGTCCCAGGTGGAGAGAGCTGTATTGCCCAATGCATCACCCAGTATCGGTGTCATCTGCATTAAATGACTGGCTGATATGAGGGTATAAACACTCTGCCCTCTCACCGCACTTGGGAGAGCTCTGAAGGGTCATCCCATCTTCACAAATCCCTGTAGGATCATCGGAGGTTCCCATTAAGGCAGTGGTTCTCAACCTTCTGGCCCTTTAAATACAGTTCCTCATGTTGTGACCCAACCATAAAATTATTTTCGTGGCTACTTCATAACTGTAATTTTGCTACTGTTATGAATCGTAATGTAAATATCTGATATGCAGGGTGGTCTTAGGCAATCCCTGTGAAAGAGTTGTTCGACCGCCAAATGGGTCGCGACCCACAGGTTGAGAACCGCTACATTAAGGGGATATCACAGCTTTTTAAAAAATTTTTTTTCTTCCATCTACCCAATCCTGTTTCACTCCCTTCTCTAGGTGTTATCCCAAGCACATAACCCAAAATCACTCTACCCACTAATCTCCATCTCAGAGTATGCTTCTTGGGAACCCACACTATGCCACCTTCCAACTCGTAGCTTTACCTAAGCCAAATTGGAACTCCCAGACATCTTATCAAAGGTCCAGAAGGACCCAAGTAGAAAAGAAGAGGTAGATGCTGCATGGCGATTCTCTCTTTTGACTACTGGGTTCTAATCACTTTTTTTCATCTGCTAATTCAATGTATAAAGCTGCTTTCGTATCACTTCCATCTATAATCTGTGAAGTTTATATCTAGCAATGTCCTTCCATTAACCTGACCTCAACCCATGTTAAAGCATGTCCCACATATTAGTGTATTTGGGGAAAACTGGATTACTAAGATTACATTTCTCTAAGTCTTTACTGGCAATAACTTCTAGCTTTGCTTTGGGAAACTGAGAATGTACTAGGTTCTCACTTACCATGTTCATGTTTTGTATATTAAAGCCTCCCAGAAGTAAAATGATGCTGCTGCAAATCTGATCAATAATCATCTGACCACAAAGGTAAATATAAAACTGGCGGAGGAATCTGGTCTGGTACAGGAATTCTTTCCTGCCAAACAATCCCTGTAAAAATAGGAAACAAAAGAGTAGTCATTACATCATAGTAAAAAATAAGTGCGTCTAATTGAAAAGTGTAAATCTTACCTTATCAGGTGGGAAGACTCTTCTACATAGACAAGAAATTTTCTGAGGAGTCACGTACCTTGATCATCATATCTGGCAGCAACAAAAATTTGGTCCCAGGGCTTCTCGCATGTTTAATAGTGGCTATGGGTGCTAAAGCAAAATACAGTTTTATTTTCTGAGCCAGCTCTGGCATGGTGGAAAATGCAATAAAGCCTGCAAGAGAAGCAATATGTCAGTGTGGATACGAAATAGCCTCGAACTCATAAAATGCTTACTTACTTTTGTCAAGATATTTCAGTAATTATTTGTGATTGTGTCTTAACTCGCCCATGAAATTATAAGTTCATTGAGGGGGAAAAATGACAGCAGGAAAAAACGCCTTAGTGTTCCTTCTGACATCTCGCTTATTTGATATCCAGTAGTAGGATCTCATTGAATTGGTGAATTTCATTATTCAGTATAATAATGTGGACTTTGTGAGAGAGAGACGGGGTAACTATATTCTTGACACTTTGCTTATGATGTTCATGGTTCTTACTTCATTTAATTCAAATCTCTACAGTGAAAAAAATAAGAAAAACTGCCTTGTTTATTGATAACAAGCATGTTCTGTAAAATACCATAATGGGTATAGCAATTTTTTGCTGGGGTTTTTGTGATTCCCTAATTGTTCTGGAACCCAAATTATAAAGTAATGTAGTAGACAAGTGTCTAGGGAACTGGATTCCAACTCTTATTTTTGCCATTGACTTGGTATGGAACACTAGTTAAGTCAGTCTGTGCCTCAGTTTCTATACCTATAAAATAGAGCCAAATTTCCCAAATTACCACTGTACAGGGCTAATCTCTGTGGAACTTTTGGGAGAAAAAGGCTGTTATATAAATTCAGGGCATGGACACTATATTGGAAATACTGTGTGTCTATTTCAATAGAGCATGTACAGGCTCTGTCTAGGTTGATGCTTGCAGTCTGTGGGGAAGGAGGTTGGGTAGAAAAAACAACATAAAATCACATGACTCTGTCTGGTTCCCAGGAGGTGAGTGAGTATTAAGAAAGACTGGTTCCTTCCCTTCTTTCCTCTTTACATGATTTGTTTTGCCAGCCACATGCAAAGGCAGGCAGAAGCGTGACTTGGTATTAGCTCTGACTCTCCCAACTGTACCATCAGTAGGACTTGGTTGAAAATACTTTCAAATACATTCCTATATTCCAGCTTAATTCTGACTATGTAGACTTAATTCCTCAAATGTCAAGATTTGGGAACTTTAGATAACTTCTTCCATCAATTCCTCCCTTTATGTAAAGCAAGTTCGAGTTTTCCGCATTAATAGCTCCACGGTTGACTAATAGAATCGTCCCATGCTTGTTTGGCCACCTCCTTCTTCTCAGAGTAACATTTAACGTCATCATTAGCACCTTTGTCTTCATGTCAAGTTGAACAGTTTAGTATAGGGAAAATGTTTTAAGACCTCTGGAAATGAGAGTAGGAGCAGGCATAACATTTTACCTTTCTGTGAAGTACATGGTGAGACACAGCATCCTTAGGATCAGTTAATCCCATGCTTGTTTGGCCACCTCCTTCTTCTCAGAGTAACATTTAACGTCATCATTAGCACCTTTGTCTTCATGTCAAGTTGAACAGTTTAGTATAGGGAAAATGTTTTAAGACCTCTGGAAATGAGAGTAGAAGCAGGCATAACATTTTACCTTTCTGTGAAGTACATGGTGAGACACAGTATCCTTAGGATCAGTTAATGTTGTTGAAAAATCCAGAAAGTACAATGTGAAAGCCAGTCTCTTTTTATTCACTAGAGTATCAGTTAAAATGAACCCATGGCATGTGTGCCCTGAGTTTCCACTGAGTGTTCACCTCTCTCAGAATCCCTTGCACGGGTGATGCCTGGCTGCCTCTGGAGTGCCTTTGGCTCAGAGCCCTTCTCAGCCCCCTCTCGAGAGCCTTCTTCTCATGGCACACACTCTGCCTCTGCTGATCTCCCTTCATTGTGACCTAAGCCAACCACATTTTTTTCCTGTTGACTTTGGTCTAATAAAGGGCCAGGATAGCCAGCCTCCACTCCCATCTTCCCAAGTAGGTGATATGTATCCTCTGGGGCTATGAGTTAAGGTTTCTCACAAAGTCATCAAAACCAAAAGGACACCAGCACAGAATTGCAGACATTGTCATTAGAAGACAGAGAGAGAGAAAAAAAAAAAAGGAGAGAAAGACTTGAGTAAACTCTCTGCAGCAGTTCTATGTATAGTGTGATGACAGTGCTTAGGGTCTATTGATTGCCTGTTATGTGCCAGGCACTGGAAACTATGTTTCATTCATTCAGTGCATTTACTGAGTGCATACTATGGGCCAGGAACTGCTCTCACAGCCTTGCTTCACAGAGCTTATATCAGTCATATTGAATAGTCCATCACCTATAACACCCCTAAGAGGGAGCTATTATCCCCATTTTCCTCAGATAAGGAAACTGAGGCCAGAGGGATTAAATAATTTGCTCAGTGAGATTTACCTAAGAGGTGGTAGAGCCAACATTTGAATACATATTTGTCTGACTCCAAAGCTTTTGTTCTACCTACTCTACCTGAAGCCTCCCTCAATTTCATACCCATTTCCTGTTGCTCTTAGAGTTGCTGAAGAGAATAAGGCCAGATGAGTGAAGTGTGAGAAGACTGATCCCAGGCACAGCTGTACACCATATGCTCACATTTCCTCTGAGTATACAAACCTGTTTTCCTTTGAACCTACCCATAGTCGTGCCCTGTGAATAGCCGACATAATAGATCTTTTCCTGGCCCGTTTTCTGCAAAATAAAGTTTATGACTGCAGGAAGGTCAAACCTAGCCATCTCATCATAACTACAAGAGGAAAAGACAAAGTTATATGAAAAGTTATAATCAGAAACAAACAAAAACAGCCCCCGGAGTTTATAAACAAACCCTTGAGTTGTCAGACCCAAGACGGTTACTGTGTCCCTCACAACACTCAGTTTGGACTTGTTTCAAACCTGTGATGCCCGGGTGCCTCAGAAATCACAGGTTGTCAGCAAACTGCTATTTTCTACAGATGTTACAGAGCAATAATCATCTTCAATGAATATTTACTGGGCACAAGACCTGCCTCCCTAGTAGAGGTGTCCTGTTGTTCTGTTAGTAGAATAGCAGATGGTCATGCAGATTCACTTATATGAAAAGTATTGAAGATGCTATGGGGCCCTTCTCTGATGAAATAGATAAAAAGCAGGTTGAATGTCCATAGGTAATTTAAATACAAATACTAAAAGTCTTTTGTAAGAAATGTGTTAGTTGAATTGATAGTCCCTGAGGCTTAAAAGTTTCCTTATATCTTTAATGTTGTTTGATCTCATCTCCTCCTGGGGGTACCAGTCCTTGTCATAACTCACAGAAGAGTTAGTCCCAGGACATCCATCTATAAGCAAATGGACATACACTTCTCTCATTCCAGTCTCAATCACCTGACACCACCCACCATTCTCACCACATTCACCAGACCCAATCTTCTTAAGGAACGTAGTTTTCCCCACTACTTTTCCAAAAGAATCACTAGTCAATTAAGACAATTGAGGGCTATCCTATTAGGATATGGATGAGCCAACCAAAGTAAATTTTCCAAATGCTAGAAGTTGTGATTTTTTTACCCAGTTCTTCTAAAGACATCCAGGTCCACCTCCTCTCGAGACTCTCATATACCTGAAGGCCCAGAACTCATCCTGGTCTATGGAGAGGGTCTTGTGTTTCCGGGACCAGGTGTTTCCCCTGCTGTTCCCCAGCCACACGTCGAAACCAGCATCTGCCAGGATGAAGCCCAGGCTGTTGTTGGGCAGGTTGGAAATCCAGTTGCTGGCATCACCAAGCAGGCCATGCTGCAGTAACACCACAGGCCTGGAACCTACAAAAAAAGAGATTTTCAACTGGGGGAAATGTTCTCTACCCTTCTGGTTATCCCCTACTGTGCAAAGGCTTTCAAGTTAGACAAACCTGTGTTTAATTGTTGATTCAGCTGCTTGCTAGCTTGATTATCTTGGTCAGTTACTTAACCTTTATGTGTCTTGATTTCCTCATCAGAAAAGTAGAATTTTTGTTATGATGAAATGAAATCGGGCACAAGGAGCAGATGGCACAATGCATGGCACAGAGAAAGAATCAAAGCGCATCTCCCACTGTTGTTTTGTTTGTTTTTAATCCTCACCCAAGGATATTTTCCCATTGATTTTTAGAGAGTGGAAGAGAGAGGGAAACACAGAGAGAAATATTGATGTGAGAGAACCACATAAAAGGAGAGAAAGACTTGAGTAAACTCTCTGCAGCAGTTCTATGTATAGTATGACAGTGCTTAGGGTCTATTGATTGCCTGTTATGTGCCAGGCACTGGAAACTATGTTTCATTCATTCAGTGCATTTACTGAGTGCATACTATGGGCCAGGAACTGCTCTCACAGCCTTGCTTCACAGAGCTTATATCAGTCATATTGAACAGTCCATCACCTATAACACCCCTAAGAGGGAGCTATTATCCCCATTTTATAGATAAGGAAACTGAGGCCAGAGGGATTAAATAATTTGCTCAGTGAGATTTACCTAAGAGGTGGTAGAGCCAACATTTGAATACATATTTGTCTGACTCCAAAGTTTTTGTTCTACCTACTCTACCTGAAGCCTCCCTCAATTTCATACCCATTTCCTGTTGCTCTTAGAGTTGCTGAAGAGAATAAGGCCAGATGAGTGAAGTGTGAGAAGACTGATCCCAGGCACAGCTGTACACCATATGCTCACATTTCCTCTGAGTATACAAACCTGTTTTCCTTTGAACCTACCCATAGTCGTGCCCTGTGAATAGCCGACATAATAGATCTTTTCCTGGCCCGTTTTCTGCAAAATAAAGTTTATGACTGCAGGAAGGTCAAACCTAGCCATCTCATCATAACTACAAGAGGAAAAGACAAAGTTATATGAAAAGTTATAATCAGAAACAAACAAAAACAGCCCCCGGAGTTTATAAACAAACCCTTGAGTTGTCAGACCCAAGACGGTTACTGTGTCCCTCACAACACTCAGTTTGGACTTGTTTCAAACCTGTGATGCCCGGGTGCCTCAGAAATCACAGGTTGTCAGCAAACTGCTATTTTCTACAGATGTTACAGAGCAATAATCATCTTCAATGAATATTTACTGGGCACAAGACCTGCCTCCCTAGTAGAGGTGTCCTGTTGTTCTGTTAGTAGAATAGCAGATGGTCATGCAGATTCACTTATATGAAAAGTATTGAAGATGCTATGGGGCCCTTCTCTGATGAAATAGATAAAAAGCAGGTTGAATGTCCATAGGTAATTTAAATACAAATACTAAAAGTCTTTTGTAAGAAATGTGTTAGTTGAATTGATAGTCTCTGAGGCTTAATAGTTTCCTTATAACTTTAATGTTGTCTGATCTCATCTCCTCCTGGGGGGTACTAGTCCTTGTCATAACTCACAGAAGAGTTAGTCCCAGGACATCCATCTATAAGCAAATGGACATACACTTCTCTCATTCCAGTCTCAATCACCTGACACCACCCACCATTCTCACCACATTCACCAGACCCAATCTTCTTAAGGAACGTAGTTTTCCCCACTACTTTTCCAAAAGAATCACTAGTCAATTAAGACAATTGAGGGCTATCCTATTAGGGTATGGATGAGCCAACCAAAGTAAATTTTCCAAATGCTAGAAGTTATGATTTTTTTACCCAGTTCTTCTAAAGACATCCAGGTCCACCTCCTCTCGAGACTCTCATATACCTGAAGGCCCAGAACTCATCCTGGTCTATGGAGAGGGTCTTGTGTTTCCGGGACCAGGTGTTTCCCCTGCTGTTCCCCAGCCACACGTCGAAACCAGCATCTGCCAGGATGAAGCCCAGGCTGTTGTTGGGCAGGTTGGAAATCCAGTTGCTGGCATCACCAAGCAGGCCATGCTGCAGTAACACCACAGGCCTGGAACCTACAAAAAAAGAGATTTTCAACTGGGGGAAATGTTCTCTACCCTTCTGGTTATCCCCTACTGTGCAAAGGCTTTCAAGTTAGACAAACCTGTGTTTAATTGTTGATTCAGCTGCTTGCTAGCTTGATTATCTTGGTCAGTTACTTAACCTTTATGTGTCTTGATTTCCTCATCAGAAAAGTAGAATTTTTGTTATGATGAAATGAAATCGGGCACAAGGAGCAGATGGCACAATGCATGGCACAGAGAAAGAATCAAAACGCATCTCCCACTGTTGTTCTGTTTGTTTTTAATCCTCACCCAAGGATATTTTCCCATTGATTTTTAGAGAGTGGAAGAGAGAGGGAAACACAGAGAGAAATATTGATGTGAGAGAACCACATTGATTGGTTGCCTCCTGCATGAGCCCTGACCAGGGCCTGGGCCTGGGCCAGAGAGGTGCCTGCAAAGAGGTATGTGCCCTTGACTAGAATTGAACCTGGGACCCTTCGGTCCGCAGGCCAATGCTTTTCCATTGTTGTTTTTGTAAAGTTATTATTACTAGACTTGTCTGGGCACCTGAGAGGATACTGAAGTGCTCCAGGAGCTGGTATAATATAATCCTATATAATAAAAGGGTAATATGCAAACTGACCCTAACAGCAGAAAGACTGGGAATGACTGGTCACTATGACACACACTGACCACCAGGGGGCAGACGCTCAATGCAGAAGCTGCCCTCTGGTGGTCAGTGCGCTCCCACATGGGGGAGCTCTGCTCAGCCACAAGCCAGGCTGATGGCTGCCAGTACAGTGGTGGTGATGGGAGCCTCTCCTGCCTCCTCAGCAGTAATGTATAATATAACAAATGTATAACTATATATAATTACATATGTATATATTAATGTTATAATAAAATAATTATATAAATACTAGATATAATTATTGATATTATTATATTAATTATACACACATATAAATATACACATATATAAATATACTATATATCCTAATGTATTAATATTATACTGTATGTAAGTATATGTTATTTATAATTATTTATATTCTAATATTAATACATACAAATATATGCTTATTCTATATATGTAATGGTTTAATGATTATGGGTGCTTCATGTCTAAAGAACCCACAAGCCAGCGTGAAGGATCTCCCAATCTACACTAATAAAAGAGAAACATGGTAATTAGCGTACGACCGCTACCCTTCCCATTGGCTAATCAGGGAGATATGCAAATTAACTG